GCCTGCATTTCGCGCACTCGACACGCACGATCTCCGCAGAGGGTTGCATTTTCGGTTGACGCTGTTCGTCCCACCCTCCGCCTTTAAGAGAGAATTTATAAAGTGGGGAAATGTTTTTCATTAGGACATCTCCCGTGCTAGTTTTTTCCATGCTGCTAGCATACTCATTGCATGCTTGCATGCTAGCATACTCATTGCATGCTTGCATGCTCATCATTAGACTTGCATACTTTGACACTTGCATACTTTGCACTTGGATGCTTTCGCTCTTCCAGTGTGTGTGTGTGTGTAAGTGTAAGTGTCGAAGTGTAAGTGTCGAAGTGTCAGTGTTCAAGGGATTTTCCGGAAGAACCCTTCGCAATGCTTTCGGGAAAAATGAACTGTGAGGATCTTTTACAGATCATCTTGAACGGAAAAACACACACACACAAACACTTGTATACTGGTTTCTCCTGGGCGAACTCGTCCGGCACCCAACGAATCGACCGGGCTTCGTCTAGGTCTACAGCTCCCTAATCATCCATGGGGCTGGACCAATCAATAAAGACATCTGAAAATCACCACCACTGATCGGCCAATCTTCCAGATCGGAGATTTTCGGGGCATCCCATCTGGGCCACCCGCACCCATCTCGCCCAGCTCCTTCAGCTGGGATGCGAAGCGCTTGGATGCGGCCGCCGCCTTCACCGCTCGCTGGAGCAGGCGGTTGCTTCGACCCCGCGTCGGTGACGGATTTCCAGAGAACGACGTCACCCAGTCGACCTTGAGCTTGATGCCGTCCGAAGTCCAGTTCACCACTGAAGGTCTTTCAGGAAATTTTAAAAAATATACTCAGCTATAGTATGCTATAGTCAGACAGTATGAGTATATTAAAGTCGTTGACTTCACTCTCCAGGGGTTGCATGAACTTGTGGTGTATGATCCTTGTTGGTGAAAAGGGTCTTTGGAACGACTATGAACGATGGATCCACCCGGGGCCACTTTCATGAGAAGAGTTCTCGCGGCGCACATCCCACACATGATTCGCTTGGCGGAACCCATGCATGCACGTGGTGGAACCCATGGTGGAACCCACTGTGGGTCACCCAGCGGATCTCAATGCTAAGCGAGGAACAGCAAACTAGAATCGGAGTTGACATTCGGATCCTTTCGATTTTGCATGGTTTTGCACCCCTTTTTTTTGTAGGCAGCAGCAGCAGCAGCTGAAGTTCACGCATCACCGTCAACCAAATGATGTCCCAGGCCGCATGATTCGGTCATCGAAAGCAGCAACCTCCTCCAAAGTGATTCTCCGGTCGGTTTCAGCTCAACAAGTTTTGGTCAGTGAAGAAATCATCATCTCAAGTGAAGGTTGAACATACAAGAACATCAACATGATATCTGCCCTAAGTATATTGGGCTCTCCATGGCAGGGGTCGGCTCCATAGGTCCGGGTCCGGAAGCAAACCCTGTCTGTTTGAGGGCCCGGATTCTTAGGGTGAGATTTGAACACCCCCACCCAGGATTCTTGGACCCAAGGCCGGACCCACCGAGCAAAGACCACTCCCAGCTCTCCCACCAAACTCGATCTCTCTCCCAGGCCCTGTCCTTAGGCGGTGCCATGCCCAAGGCCACCAAACGTTCAAAAACGGGTACCAAGTCCTGCCAAAAAAAGAACCAAAAAAGAACAACGCTCTCAAATCCATTGTGGAGACGCGTCCTGTTCATTTTTCTTCATCTGTTTCTTTGTTCTGGAGGGGGGGAATCCTGTCGTGTTTCAAACAAAATCCACCAGCTTCGTTCACATGGAGTGTGCCCACGGTCCGCGCCACGAACTTCCGGTAGGTCCGGCCTGGAGCGTGTTGCGAGCAGCGAAGCGATCGTGAGATGGAGCTGAAGATGGAGATGGAACGAAAAGAACTGGCATCCTCTGGTATCAAAATCAACCCCATAGATATCCATAGCCCCAATCTTGTGATCACCTTTTAAAGGAGCACAACAAATTCTTGAATGATGGGGTGGTAAAGAGTGTATGCAACGAAGTGACAGCCCAAAACAGGTTGGAGAAGAAGTGACAAATATGCACAAAACGCGACTCGTGCTACACGGTTGACATGCGGACGAATCTCGTTGACCACCGAGAGAACTCATCCATCGATCGCTGCGGAACCAGCGATGGACCACAGCAATGGACCAAGGCGGGCCAAGCTCCTCTGATGCCTCGAAGGATTGGGTTTTACCACTCTCAGAAGCCTGTGTCGAGGGGCGGCAAAACTGATGGAGCCATCCATACGAAGACACATATACATAGCAAACGGGGTTGTACAGCTAGACAAAATATCCGAGAATTCCATGACATATCTTTTTCTTTGGCGGGGAGCACACTCTTCGGACATTTGTTCTTTAGAATCGGTCTCAAATGCTCTTTGTTCATCTAGTAGGTGAAGCCAAGCACGATCTTCGCCGTTCTGTGTCTCCCCCAGACTGTCTGGGCGACCCGGCTCGGCGGAGGCATCTGGCAGCTCTTCTCCATCTAAACGTCGGTCCAGCTGGGCGTGAGCCTTCTCCTGTTCTCAGCGGATGGGCTCTGGGCCATGGCACCGGAGGACCATGGACCACGAATGACCAAAGACTACTTGCCCAAACGCTCCGGGAAAACAGGCCGACCGGTCCCTCAAATCCGGATTGGAGTGTGACCCCTCCAGTCCGGATTCGGGTCCGACCCCTAAACGGAGGGTCCAGGATCGCATCTGGGAGGTGCCAAAGGCCCGGTTTCGCTCACACAGCTGTGCTGTGCGTGACAATGCATGACCAACTGGCGTTGGCCCAAACAAAAAAGAGTTGTTTGAGTGCATTGAGGGTTATCTAATGTTATATATACTATCTTCTATCAACCGATTATTTGTCTATCCATGTCTATCAAGCTCCCCAACTACATTAACACACCTTTTCCATCCAAAGCGTCAAACATATACGAGATTTTCACTAAGTGTGAAACGGGTTCTTTGCTGGAGTCTCTTTACTAATTGGGTGCACTTATATACGCTTGACTGAAACTACGAAGCTGGATACAAATGTGAATGAACCCGGATCATGATGATCATAGTTTCTACTTCCCTCATGCACCACCTTCTTTGTGTCATATGTCGGGGCCACGATGGGATCCCCTCCCGGCCCACGTACATCTTCACCTTTGGAAGTGATGAAAGCAACTGGGTCGGTGGCTCCAGTCACATTTCCCCGAAAGAATCCACGCATTTTGGAGACATATCCTCATATCCTCCATGATCTCCCCTGGTGCTACGGTCGTGGATGGTCGTTCGGCATGCCGGCCAGTTCATCTACCTGGTGGTTTTCAGGGTCGTTCGCTACTTACATGATCTACTTGGTGGACTGGTGGACGCTCCAGGTCGCTCGGGCGTGGCCCAAAACGGCGTCACGTGGCCCAACGGCGCTCGAGTTCCCGGCCTCCGCTTCGGCCCAAACGCCTCGACCTGGTCGGCACGGGGTCGGTAGAAAGCGGTGAGCGCGGGCAGCGCGGAACGAGACAGGTGCTGGCACTATGATGCATTACTCTTATGTGCATTACTATATCTATAGTTATTAGGTGCTGCTAGCTATTGGGCTTCAAGCAAACACCGTATATTTAAAGTACATTAGTCATAGTTTTGCATGATCAATTTTGTAGATATTCCATACCTGGTCTGGGAATAGAACTCAGAGGAAAGTCCAAGAAACGCTTTGCCGACAGAACTCCTAGCATGTTTTCATCCGAGACTGTGCAGCGGGATCTCTCGGGAAGTTTCTGAATGCCAAGCACGTGACCTGTACACATCAGAGCTTGGGATTACGAAGCCTGGAAAACTGATGGCCCAGGCCCGAAATGAAGACTCCGCCACCGCCCACCTTCGTGGTGCGAAATCTTCGAATTCGCAGCAAGGAAGTCTTCCAGCAAATGGACATGGAAAGGATCAAAATCACCAGCCAATCCATCCCGATTCCAAGCCATTACAAAGCTTTGAGATGGATTTGAATGGATTTCAGAAGAGGATGTCTGACCTTTTGTTGATCCGCTGCCCGACATGCCTCTTTAAAGGCACGCGGTTCTCAACATCCATGTTCTAAAAATCGATGTGGCGAGGAACATCATTTCACCAGGCGCTGAAGTTGTTGCATCAAGCTGCTGCCTCACCCACGACACCGCGCGCGACACGCGACGCGCGACGGTGAGCCCTTGGGACCTGTGGTTCAACTCCTTGGACCCTGGAGAAGGAGAAGGACCGACCTGTCTACCCAGCCAGGGGCGGCCACTGGATCTCCCATGGATCCCTAATAAAAACATACACACACCCTTAGTGTGGTTGACAGCGCTGTCAGACTGCATGTTGGGCCGCCCAAAGGAAGACATGCGAAAGCCATCCTTCTCGTCCTCTTGGCCTGTCGTTTTCCCGAGTTGATTGGGAGTTGCAGCTCACATGCAAACGCAAGACCATACATGTGAGGTCACTACACCTGTCAGTCTACAAGATGGTACACCTACACAGCGACCCGCCGAACCCGCGGGTCGGACCCGAATCCGGACTGGAGGGGTGGAGGGACCCGGTTCCCAAACCCTATGGTCTTGAGGGACCCAAAAGGCTGTGAACGGAGCAGTCTGGGCAAAATGTCATGTGGAATGCAAGACGGAGAGTACCCGTATAAGTCCACGAAGTTCGAACGAGCCCGACCCCGGTTTTGGTGGTGGTCTAATACTGAGCTTCAAGGCACCAAAGGCACCGGCGCTTTGGCGGCATGTGGGTCGACATTCATGTTGATCCTCAAAGCGATGCTTCAGACATACCTTCAGGCCACAGCTGCCGCACTGGCAGGAATTCCTCGGCGAGGCGACGATAGAGGTTAGGCTCTGTTGGGGACAACGCCCGACACGGCGGGCGGCGTTAAGGTGGCACATGATAGACTAAAAGAGATAGACCGGTCAGAAAACGTATCACTGGAGATCACGGGACCTGTCCCTCATCTCTACCACACAGTGAGATACACCAAGTGTGAACATCTTCAGACCATCTGCTCCGTGGCTTAGAAGGGAAAGACTGCGAGCAACGCAGCAACACCAGTATATATTAGCCGAAGAAGCCACTTCGAAATGATCCCCACCACACCGTAAGGAACCATGAAACACACCAAACATTGCTGTGGGAAATCATGTTTTTTTAAATATCGCCAATACCACCAAACAACTCTGGGACTGGAAGATTCATTTCTTAATTAATTAGTGATTATTTTTTTCTGGGGTCAATGTATGCATTCAGAGCACCCCCCCCAGAGTAAAGTTGCACTCCTTCCATACTGAGCATATCTCAGCACTACTCTCAGCACTGCTTACAGCTCAAGCCTGTGCGCATACACTTGTTCAACTGCCACTCGTTCAACTTCCTAGACCTGAAATGCGCTTCTTTCTATTGGTTGTGCATGGATTCATCTCAACGCCCACCCCTGGAATTTCATTCCCCAAAATGTCTGGTCTTGATTGCACATCGTGTGTGTCTTCATAAAACTTTGATTCTTCTCCTCACCCAACAACTGCCGACGGCATCTCTGGGGACTCATGGTGAGAAGCTCTCAGTCTCGACTTGGAGGCTCCAGGATTCCGCCCTGTCGACAGCTAGCGACTCTGCGCCCACTCCTTTGCCAAATCAACACAAGAGTCACAAGTTCGATGATTTGGCTGTGGGACACCCTGGTTTTTCCCACCAAGAATGAACAGAAGGTCAACTACCTGGGAGGTCAACTGAGGTCAACCTACCAGGCTGAGTGAAACGGGCTCCAGCTGCCCTCACCGCCATGTTTGGAGACGGAGGTTGAGACGGAGGACGGATCTTCCAACGACGCGCATGTCTGCCGAACTTCATCTATTCAAAAGTTTTCGGCTGGTTTTGGTTCGCACCGTCCTTGGAAGATCCAGCCATCACACGTCAGACTCGTTCGATACGTCAAGATATCCAAGATTCGAGAAGGTGAGTTTCTCTCGACAGCCCTTCACAGGACACCGTGGCTTCGTCTTCACACTCGGAGCACATGCGCCACTCGCCACATGGCGGTCGAAGACGTGCACGGAGGACTGCTCATCCTTTGCGTCGCAGGGGAGGGCCATGTCACAGAGCGGGCACACGATCACACGCCGGTCCTGGCAGGAAAAGGGTTTCCAAAAAAAGGCCGGACATGAGGATGTTCAGATCAGCGAACATTCACTCAATCCGAGTCGTTGTTTGACTATTTGGTTGCACATCAAGTAAGTTTTGATGCCACCATGCACATAATGGAAGTCCCCAAAAGGCAGTTCTCATTGCAGCCCATGTCATTCAGTAAATCCTACCCGTGAGGATCGCAAAGGGCGAGAGTTGCCAAAGGCAAGGAACAAGGGGTATTTCAGAGAAGCGACCAGTTCGGCAGGCACTGGCATGGTGTGAACCAGTCGCTTCGATTCAAACAAAACACGATTGGGTTGGCCTGAAAACGGCGGTTTTTTGTTATTTTAGTTTAAATTGTTCTATTGCTACCCTGGAAGTCCAAAGACTATATTTTGACCGGCTGAAGTAAAGGAAGTGCCCTTTCAGGTCCCCTAAAGACCATTCTTTTTACTGTATAGTCTTTGACTCCCAGGGTATTACTATGTGTCTTCTGGTTGT